TTGCAAATATGCATTTCGCGTTACGTTCGGTGTCTGTTATTCTCAACTTTGTACAACCTTTTCAATGATAGTTAAAAACAGTTCATGTTTGATCTTCCATCTGGTGAAATTGCTTTACTTTCGTAATCGTTAACAATTGCAGCTTCCGCGAATATGTAGTTTAGTGATAATGGACACTAAAGATCAAAAACTCATCAATACTTTCATTATTGCAATATCATATTCATAAGAAATGATGAAATACTCAACGATCAAATCGATTCTTCTGCGCTTATAATTAAGACATCTTTCATCAAGTAATATTTTTGGTCACCCATCGAATGACCGATCACTGCGAAAGTTGCTTAACTTCCACGATCGCAGCCGAACGCGCTAACTGCTCGCGTCATCGAGCTCCTTATTTTCTTCCTTCACCACTCATTAAGAAAAAAGATATAAACATGCAAAAATCTTTAAATGACTATGTGAAATATGTCAATATAATTGAAGTTATTATTATAATAGGGGTGATGACGGGGTACAGTAAACGAAATTATATTTAGTCAGTCAGTTAGATGATCAAAAAATAATGGACACGTATTTTTTCTTTGGGCAATCTACCAAAAAATGACAAAGTTATACCGCGTCAAAGTTTGGGAGTAGGGGCTCGTGACGTCACTTTTAAGTGAAAATTGTACCAAAACGTGACGTCATGCGTCTTTTCAAATCAATATATCTCTGCAATGTTTATATTATGTGAAAAAATACGTGTCCAATACTTTTTGATAATCTATATATTGTTTTTTTAACTATAATACTTGTTCTATAACGTTTTTCTGTAACTAATAACTTAAATGGCTGGCACTGTGGGTTGTCTCTTATAAGTTTAATGTATCCACAGAATAATAATATTAAAATGTTGCCACAAATAAAGAGAAAAAAAACCTTTGATTGAACCTTCACCGTGTTCCAATATAGGTGTACACATAGCTCACCACGTTTTTCTTACGTAGTCAAAGATAACTTGAGAAGTATCACGTTTTAACTGTACCAAAGAACAATGGCGATTGTGTTGATTCATAACAAGCAGGTGTCACATTATTAAAATATAATGTGACAGAAGGAGACAATTTGAACGCTACTTTATTTCGCTGATACGAGAAGCATTTGGTGAGGACATTGGTTGCTGTCAGTGCATTATCCCGTATGTGAAAAGTTAAAGACTAGTCCAGTCGGAATAAACATGAGACCTATTCTAAGACACCAGCGCTTAGCCAATTTTTTCCTAGATAGTATAGACCCCCCACGAATATGCCCTCCATTTGTCCCCGCTAGAACCCGTGTTTTGTAGCCAGGAAAATTGTTTAAACAAAGAAAAACCGGTTTTTTTTGAGTTTTTTTGCTTTTAAACGGGGATTTTGAAATTTTTTTTGAATCAAAGTTGTTCATTAGCTTGCCCTCTACAAAATCAGTTCTATGAAAAAATAACGTGAGATTGTTAGTTTAGCAGTAAATTGCAATTATGTCGGTTTTACGTTTGCAACAATTCAACATGTTATAATAAACATTTTGATTTCTAAAGTAGTTTATCATGTGGGTAACGCCACTCCCAAGAGAGTCATGTAAAATTTATCGACCTGTGTCGCAAACTTTAGCAACAATTCTCAATCTCCGAAAAAAAAGTACTTGCCTGTCCCGTCTTTCCCAGAAGGCGCACAGCGGGGAAAAAAATTCAGGTGATTCGATTCACCAAGAATTTTGAGGAATCGATCGAGTAGAAAAAAATCGTTAATAAAAATGATCGTTTTTGGACGATTTAATTTTTTTTTTAAAATTGACGTAGAATAATTTTTTTTTAAACTAATGTATTTTTCTCTCCTCAACTCGACTATACGATTGAAAATTTAAAAAATTCAGTTTATTTATGTACAGAAATTATTTACAAAACTATTAACTAAAATTCGATTACAAGACTGCGTTGTATTCTATATTTCTAATTAAATTAATTTCGTCCTTTTTTCTTCCGGTTCATAATCGGAATTCTCAGGGTATATTAGTATTATATATATATATTATATATATTCAGAATAGTATATTCGAGTTGAGGAGAGAAAAATACATTAGTTTAAAAAAAAAACATATTCTACGTCAATTTTTAAAAAAAAAAATCGTCCAAAAACGAACATTTTTATTAACGATTTTTTTCTACTCGATCGATTCCTCAAAATTCTTGGTGAATCGAATCACCTGAATTTTTTTTCCCGCTGTGCGCCTTCTGGGAAAGACGGGACAGGCAAGTACTTTTTTTTCGGAGATTGAGAATTGTTGCTAAAGTTTGCGACACAGGTCGATAAATTTTACATGACTCTCTTGGGAGTGGCGTTACCCACATGATAAACTACTTTAGAAATCAAAATGTTTATTATAACATGTTGAATTGTTGCAAACGTAAAACCGACATAATTGCAATTTACTGCTAAACTAACAATCTCACGTTATTTTTTCATAGAACTGATTTTGTAGAGGGCAAGCTAATGAACAACTTTGATTAAAAAAAAAAATTCAATATCCCCGTTTACAAGCAAAAAAACTCAAAAAAAAAACGGTTTTTCTTTGTTTAAACAATTTTCCTGGCTACAAAACACGGGTTCTAGCGGGGACAAATGGAGGGCATATTCGTGGGGGTCTATACTACCTAGGAAAAAATTGGCTAAGCGCTGGTGTCTTAGAATAGAAGTCGGTCCAAATTATGGCTATTCCGACTGGACTAGACATTTATACTTTAATATTTCCCTTTTATAGAAGTGAACTGTTGTATTAAATAAAGAAATGGAGCCTGTGTTTGTAAGCTTAACACTGTTTAATAATACTATAAAATAAGTGAAGTTACTACACTGATTTTACGTCTTACACGCGATGAATAACGAATGAGTTTGGAGTGGACTGGCTGCGATTTTAAAGGAGCGTGTTGTGGTAATATTTTTTTATTTTTGATTAAATTAGTGACTTCTGTTTGTTTCATTTTGGTGCACACTTTAGTTTTAGTTCTAGGGCTTGTATTTATACATGTGAAAAATTATGTAATTGATAGTGAAAATCACATGAAAACAAATGGCATCAATTTCAGCTCTTCGTTGAGCTGAAATCAATACAAGAAATATAAGAAATTTGCGTTGAGTAATAGAACGTTAAGATTCTTCTTCACAAGGACAGCAAAAGTATAAATAAATAACTTACAAAAAGGACAAGACATAAAAGGTTTATGATATCTGAAGTGTCAAAATAAATGATACTTGTCAGAATTTCGTCGATTTAAAAAAACAAGGCTAGCGAATTATGAAGAAGAAAAGAAAAAATAAATCCGACTATAGGTAATAGCTTTTAAATGAAGCATAAAATAAATTCGCGTTTCCGAGTGCGTGTGTCATTATTGTTCGAGTATATATTTTTTAAATAAACTGACCATTGTGTTACTTGTTCACGTACCATGTAGTTGCTTACCAAAAATAAGAAAAACTTTACGCGCATATAAACATCCACCCAAGATGATTTATTTACGGACAAGTAATCTTTCATGTAGAGCTTCGCACGTGAACAGTACTGGCGGAACACGCCTGCCATATCAATGTCTTGTGGTCAGCGGAACATGACTTGATCACGGTAACGGCGTGGCCGAGTGCAGGCGACCAGAGCGGAGCGGATTTTACAGCGGCGCAAAGGATGTCATTGAAAGCACCTTTTAGTCCATATATATACTTTAACACATACAATTAGAACGTTTCCCTTAGTTTATCAAATGATAATACATTTGCATTATTAAAATAAATATAATTAATTGAAAATCTTTCTTAAGTAGATCCTTATATACTCAAATATGATTTGAAAGAACAACTCCGCTATTTGCTGTATATATAGATAAATTATCCCAAGTGTTCAAATGCCGTTAAAATATTTTCGATAAATCTTTTTATCTATAGAGTTTATCGCTGTAAGTGCGACTGCATCCTAATGGAAAATGTTCTTTCTGATAGTTTCATTTAATCATTTTTGTTCTCAATTGATATCCGCAACCAGACGTTACATACGGAATTTGTAAAGGTTTTATCATGTAAATATTAAATCAATTAATTGGTTTGTTTCCAAATATGTAGCATATTTGGACTAAGGTTTGGTTAAGGACTAGATTTAACCATGAAATTGTTCGTGTTGTCACGTCGCATATCACTGTATCACAAGCTGCATAAATCGAGGTGCGTCTACACAATGGGTCCTATGGTGTACAACAGGCTTCCGGAAACCATTAAGAAGGGAGCTACTTCCAGCACTATGTTTAAAGTTAGACTAAGAAAATGGATCTAAAAGCACTCTTTCTACTCTTTTAAAGTTTTTTTTTTAATTTAAATACAATATACTACAACTATATACAGACACTAGCTGACCCAGCGAACTTCGTACCGCCCTAAAAAAATAGGGGTTGTCCAGCGGACAAAATTGTGAATCTAAACCATTCTCAGATCCCCTTGAACACACACAAAAAATTTCATCAAAATCGGTCCAGTCGTTTAAGAGAAGTTCAGTGACATACACACTCACAGAAGAATTATATATATAAAGATATAATTCAATAATTTGACGACCTCCGTAGCCGAGTGGTTTGTACGCCGGGTTTCATGGTGTCGCCGACTCGAGAGGTCCCGGGTACAAATCCCGGCGGGGACAGATGTTTGTGTGATGAATACGAGCATTTGTACTCCAGTCATGGATGTTTAATATGCATTTCTTAATAAATATACTAATAAATGTATCAGTATATATATTTTATCTGTTACCCTAGTATCCTATAACACAAGCCTACGGTGCTTACTTTGAGGCTAAGCTAATTGGTGTGATTGTTGGAGATATTTATTATTTAATAATATATCTTATATGCTAATTCAATTTAATTAATTGGTACTAGTCTGCGCTCATTTGACTTGTGACTTGAACGTTATTAATAAACTATCTGTATTTGTATCTGTCAGGGGAGCGCGGGCGGCGGGCGGCTCGGCGGCGGCTCGGTGGGGGAGGCGGCGCGCGCGCACCATGCTCGCCAGCTTCAAGGGGTTCTGGAAGGCGTGTCGATATGGGGACCTCTATATGGTGAGACACCTTTTATTTTAACACCAACATACAGAATGTAAGATCACTTGAAGTGAAGAAAAACGTACATACACGACGAATATAGACTTCATTCCGGAAGGAGTGTCGCAATGGCGACCCCTACATGGAAAGACATGGGTAAGGCAAGGTGTTCCCACTTTTCATATTTTTCGCCTGAAACAAAGCCACCTGTATTTTGCCACTGTTAAGTATTCCCAATATTTTGAACTGAATGAAATTCGAGTTGAGCCTAACATTTGGAACTTCAAAATATGAAGTTATTATATTCTAAAATATATTGGATTCTAGAATTTGATTTTAGAATGAAGAAGAGTAAAACTGCAGCAAGGCGCTACAAGAAGTTCTGGCTCTCGTTTGCGGAGTTTATAGAATGCAAGATCATATTATTTTTTTCAAATGAAGAAAAAACACTGGCAGAGTGTGAGAGAGAGGGACAATATGCAGCAATACTGTATATCATAACTGATATGTTAATTAATGCTTATATTGATTGTTAGTGTAAATCATTGCTCAGAATTCTGCTATTTGATAAAAAAAGGTTTAACATTATTCTTCCTAAGTCCCCTCGTACCGTAAATAACAAGGCAATTTGTTGAAATCAATATGTACTAGAACGTTATTTTTAATTCTAAATTTTATTATACGACTAAAAGATTAGTTTTGTTGTGTACGGTGAAAATTGAATTGTAATTTGATTATGAACGCTATAACTACAATGAAAATTAATACAAATGGATGATTTGTTATAGTATAGGTACGAACTGCATGCCTGCACACATGTACGTATTTACACATACACACATACATTTTTTATAAGCATACCTACATAACATTACATAATACTCGCAATTAGCAATTAGCTGATTGTCAAGATATGACGGTCTTGTACTTAATTTAACTCGAAGTGTTGCATCTAGTGAAGCAATTGCGTACCATGAAGATGAATCAAACTAGGTTGGTGGTAAAAACGCTAGTATTGCCTTCACGCATGCATTTTATAATAATGACCTGTAGGAAGCGCGACAAGGGACGTAGAACCGGCGGAAAAGCAGGTAGTGAGTTAAATGTTTCTAAATTAAACGAGGATTTCACTGTTATAACAATCATCATCATCATCAGCCTATTAATATCCCCGCTTCTGGGGCACAGGCCTTCCCTATAGATGGAATAGGGAGATTGGGTCATGACCCACCAAGTGGGCCCAGTGTGGATTGATGGGTGCTCGCGAATGCAGATGCAGCCGGGGTCAACGGCTTAACGTGCCTTCCGAATCGAATCGAATTTTTGGTCACCAATCCAATGACCGACCACTGCGAAAGTTGCTTAACTTTAACGATCGCAGCCGAACACGTTAATCACCCGTGCCATCGAGCTCATAAGGAATACTTCAATTAGTACAGAAATACTGCAGTAAAGAAAATGCGCTAAAAGTCATGTGGTAATTTTCAATGAATTTCTAAATCTGGATTTTTTCCTTTTATTGATAGTGAGTGAATAGATTTTATGACATAGATATTGGAATCTAAGAAAGATACTGTATATTGTAAAATATATTTAAAATAGTATTTAAATATAGTAGCATATAATAGTCTCATAGATAAGATAGAAGCGAACTACTGGCAGTACTGGAAACCTAGCACTCTTCGATTATGTAATAGACAATACATACATTATATCTATATCTAATCTAAGCTAGCTATAATGCTGCTTTGTGTACAACGGTTAGTTAATAATATATAGTAGGTACATTTTTAATTACTGTCATAAAGTTAGTTATTATTCTAATTCGTGACATGATGTTTCATCGTAACGATTAAGACTAGGTACATCCGATTAATATAGCACCGAAATACATACTTAACTGCACTCAAAGTGAAACTTTTTGACCCACTCTTGACTTGGGGAGTAAGCTAGCGAACGTGTTACGCGTTACGAAAAGTATGATCGGGCGAGGCGAACGGGAGTTGAGTGGGGGATATAAGCAAGAGAAAGCAGTGCGCGCGCACATTTTCTTTCTCTCTTTCTCTTATAGCTAGTAAATGAAATATGTATATGTACATACATGTATAATATATTCTACACATATATTGAATATCTTAATATATATAAATCTCGTGTCACAATGTTTGTCCTCAATGGACTCCTAAACCACTGAACCGATTATAATAAAATTCGCACACCATGTGCAGTTCGATCCAACTTGAGAGATAGGATAGTTTAAATCTCAAATTATAGTCGCAATTTTAATTTATTGCAAATTATTACTTTTGGGCGGTACGAAGTTCGCCGAGTCAGCTAGTATAATATATATACATACAGATGGAGCTAAAGAAGTTTCACTTCAGGCGTGTCATAAGTCATAAGCACACTCGCTTTTTTTTATGAAAACAAGTTTTAAATTAAATAGCTAAAAGGTAGGTTACTTTTCTCAGTCACAATTAAAAGAAGGTACAAATGATAAACACAATAGATACTCAATTAACATTTATTATCACAAAACAATTTTTATATTGAATTGTTCCAACGTGTGTTACTCGGTCAAGGGCGCTAACTATATAAACAATGTATAAATTATTCAATCGTCAATTCTCCATTCATAAATATTATTGATAAAAACGGATATAATATTTCGCAAGTTTCCGAAAATGGGCAACGAGTGGCTAAAACGACTATTTATTGGACAGTCTGTCAAAACTTTATATTGGTCGTGGATTCCAAAATTTTTATTGGACGCATTTTAAAAACCATAATAGAAACACAAGGCAATAGTTAATGATACTCTGTAATTTAATGTTTTATAAATCGCGTGTAATGTGTTCGGCCTTAGGATAAGAAATATTAAGGAAAAAGAAAAATATAGAGATGGAAATGTAAAATTTAATGTTCATTTTGAAATATAAGAACTAGAGATTGAAAGATTTTGTCGACCTCCGTGGCCGAGTGGTTTGTACGCCGGGTTTCATGGTGTCGCCGACTCGAGAGGTCCCGCGTTCGAATCCCGGTGGGGGCAGATGTTTGTGTGATGAATACGAGCATTTGTACTCCATGGATGTTTAATATGTATTTCTATATATACTTATACATGGACAGTATATATATTCTATCCGTTTCTCTAGTATCCCATAACACAAGCCTTACAATGCTTACTTTGGGGCTAGGCTAATTGGTGTGACTGTTGGAAATATTTATTTATGTATTTTTACCCATCCCCTCAAACCTTTCGCAAGATGGACACGGGGAGTAAATTCAAGAAGGAAACAAAAAGAAGTAGCGTTAAACAGTTTTATTATTTTTTTGATAAACAACTTTGACCTCTGTACCCAGTGTTGCCAGGTCCGATTTTAAAAAATCGGGAGGCGTTATAGAAAAAATCAGTAGATGTATGAAAAGAGCTACAAGAAAAACAATAGATGCAGAGGCGTACTTTTTCCTAAAGACCAGTAACGACTGTGTTTCTGTGGCTTCTGCCGCCCAAAGCTAGTTTGTTTTAGACAATAACATTTATTTTATAATTATTTAGGTTGCCTACATTATTAATGGTGGAAAATGCAACTCAACATGCAATTTAAAAAATAAAATCGTATTCTAAGAAAAACAGCAGATTCATGTAGAAAAACAGTAGAACAGGAGAAATTTCAGAAAAACAGGTGATCTCCTGTAAAATCTGGAGACCTGGCAACACTATCTGTACCGAATACAATCGTAATAAATCGTTACTATGCTGGATTTCCTTAAAATCATTTAAGTAAGTCGCTTAGCGTCCGATTCGATGGACGATTTTAGTCCAGTGACATTCAGATATTTTCTATTTGTCCGGCGCGGCGTATAGTTAATTGGTTGACCTCATCCCTTCACTAGCGCGCCGCCTGTCTTTTCTGGCACCAGAGTGTGGCTTTGTTACGTGTATTTCCGTTTCCGGGGAGTCATTAACGGCCATTCGCCTTGAACCGTGCGCAGTCAGTTTGCTTTAATTTCTTCGAATCGTCATTACCGCTATTTAAAAAAATATTTAATTACACATTTATTTTTGGATCAGTTTCTGATGGTTCGTTTTGTATTTAAATTTAGAGCGTTTATTAAATATTACCTATTATTTTATTATTCGGCTTCATTTTGTATCGGAAACTGGTTTTACGAGCCTTCAATGAAGTAATAGCATAGTATTTTTATTGTATAAACATACAATAAAAATATATTTTGTAAATTACACATTAGTAAAAAGAAAAAAAATACATTAAATATCATATTTTTTAGTTTTTAAGCATTTCACTGCTAGCTACGTTTAAATCTAAAGATTGTGGGTTACCTACAACGCGAAGAGATAGCGCTGCCTTGCAGCTTAATCAGGGCTGGAGAAAATTCGCCATGGCCGTCAGGACCGCGGTAGCATAATGGTCAGTGCATTCGCCCGGATAGCGAAGGGTGCGGGTTCGAGTCCCGTCTGCTGCCTGGTCAGCGTGGAATTTTTTTTAGTAATATTTTATTATTATCCTAAATAGTCAATCAGGACTCTGCCTCAGCATAATCAAGGTTACTTTTGCAGCATATGAGAGTAACCTTCACCTTACCCAAGACTGCAGCTAAATAAATACATAAAACAATTATTTGTCGTATATGTATTGTGAAAAGTTTAGATACGTAAATTGTTATGTTCTACCAGTAAATAAGATAAGGTTTCCAGATCTTCACGACTTAGGACCCAACGACAACGGCTAACTAGAGCCGAGGTCCGAGTCTCAAAGACGCCCTCTAGTTGATCTGACCCCCTCAGGTTCGAGTGGTCCTGATGCTCCAGACGCAGAGGAGACTCCTCCCGCGGGGAGCAGCCATCCGCCTGGAATACCTCTAGAGACAATCGCCAATTCTCGGCTTGAGGTCCCCTTAGGATCTCGCCGTCCCCAGACCCGGTGACGCTGTAAAGATAATCTGCGACACTCAAAAAAAAAGACAGGGGGACGAAAGCCGTAATATTCTCTTCT